CTTTATAACCTTAAAGGCTTCATTGTGTAGACTTCATTACTTTTGCTGAAGTTTGAAGCCTTCTGACTCTGTCCTTTGTATCTTACATCTGAAAGCTTTTAGGATCTTCAATCTTACCTGTCTTGTGAACCTTCTCAACCACTTGCACGAAATGAGCATTTCTTCATTTATTGTGGCAGCATTTCTAACTAGAGACTTGGTCTATGGTTTCACAGAACTAGTCTTATATTGATTTTTTTTTTTTTTCAAAAACAGGCTAGCAAGATGGCTAAGTAAGTTAAAGACACCTGTTACCGAGCCTAACAACCTGAGTTTGATCCCTAGAACCTACGTGGTGGAAGGAGAGAACCACTCCCACAAGTTTCCTCTGACCTCCACATGTACACCATGGCACAATTGTACACACATCCATGCACACACAAAATAAAATGTAAATAAGTAAATATGTATAAAGCCAGGTGAAGCCAGGAGGGGTGGCACATACTAATTCCACACTTGGGAAGCAGAGGATTACCATAAGTTTGAGGCTAACCTGGATTTATTTTCCTGTTGTGATAAAGTACTCTGACAAGAGCTGGTAAGATGGCTCTCCGGGTAAAGATGTCTGACAACCTGAGCTTGAGCCTAGAAATCCACATTATAGAAGGAGAGGACCAGTGCCTACAGATTGTCCCCTAGCCTTCTCACACATGCTGTGCCGTTCATGCACATACACACACACACACACACACACACACACACACACACACACACACACACAAATAGAGATGTAATAAAACAAATTAAAAATTAATGCAGTTCTCTGACAAAAGCAACTTAAGAAAGGGTTTACTCTGGCTCACAGTTCAAGGATACAGTCCATCCTGGTGGGGAAGTCTGGAGTCAGGAGCTCGAAGCAGCTGGTTGACTCACATCCACAATCAGAGCTCCATGAATGTTGCTGCTGCTCAGCTCCCTTCCTCCATTTACGCAGTCCAGGACCCCAGCCAGGGAATGACACTTCTCACAGGTGTGCCCAGAGGCCCTTCAACCAGGTGATTCTACAGCCTGTCATGTTGACAGTTAACACTGATATCACAACCACCTAGAGAGACCCTGTTTGCAAAACAAATGTGAAGTGTGGTAGCACATGCCTATAATGCCAGTACTTGAGAGGCAAAGGAATCCCTGGAAGTTTGAGGCCAGCTAGGATTATGGAGTGAGTTTCATGCTAGCCTGGACTGTACAGTGAGACACTGTCTCAAAAACAAAATAGTAATAACTTTGTCCTAGTTTGTTTCTCAATTGCTGTGACAAAACACTCTGACCAATACCAACTTGGGGAGGAAAGGGTTTATTCAGCTTACATCTCCTAGGGCACAGTTCATCAGGGAGCCCAAGGTAGGAACTCAGGACAGGAACCTGGAGGCCGGAGCTGGAGCACAGGCCA